GTGTGTACGTGTGTGTGTGTGTGTTTATGTGTCTACCTTGCCCTCTGATCTGTATTATTATTCACACTTCTACGTTTTTAAATATAATATTTCAGTCTTAAAAGACAGACTGAAAAACTTTTTTTTCATTTTTAGTGGAGACATAACTTCAAAACTTGTTAAACATTTTTTCTCTGTTTAAAAACGACGCATTCCCTTATATTCAAGAACTTCATTCGAAAGATAAAAATATAGTCCTTAATATCTTAGACCTTTACTCAAAAGGAGTATTTATATATACTTTGAAACTTTGCTCCTGACGAATGATAATAATATTTCTTTCCATTCTGGAACTTTACTCAAAAGAATTTTACTTTAAATCCGAGAACTTTACTCAAAATATTATACTATATAACTTTACTCAGAAGACGTTTATTCCAGAACTTTACTTAATTTTTCTTCATGTTCTGAAATTTACCGAACAGATATTCTGATTAGATCTACATTTTTCTGCGGGTCTTCTAACACACAAAAAACTCACAAAGTCCAGCAAGTTGTAGCAGGCTAAAATCCCCGAAGAGCTGTGTCGAAAAAACACACAGCACTTGGCGAAGAATAGAAAGAGGAATTGATGGAGGAGTGAGTTGAATGAAGAAGAAAATTCCTCCCTCCTCTTTTTTCTCTCTCTCTCCCGTTTTTCTCCCAGTTTTACACCTTCCACTACTACTACTACTGTAGTGGCACCACCGATTTCGCTTTGGCCACTGGCTTTGGCCCACGCCGCGCTTCTGTCAGCTACAACTGAACGCTTCCCACAGACACACGTTTTTTCCTTCGCACTCACACACGCAGGCGCGTGCGTTTAGCGGGACGGGGCGTGAGGGCGCGCGTGAGTGAGTGAGTGAGGGAGGGAGTGAGTAAGGGACGAAAGGAGGGAGGGATTTGGTGAGGGAGAGAGAGACGGATGGAAGGAAGGATGGATGGATGGAAGGAAGACCGTGTTTTGTGTAGATTTGTGTGTGTGTATTACCGTAAACGTGAGTACGAAGTGTGTGTGTTTGGGGGGGGGGGATAAGGGTAGACATGGAATGGACGGAAAGAAGGGGAAGAATGGGTGAGAAACTAGAGACGGAAAGAGAGACGGAGAGAGAGAGGGAAAGAGAGAGAGAGTGACAGAGAGAGATTGTAGAAGAGAGAGAAAGTGAGAGAGAGAGAGAGAAAGAAAAAGGAGAGAGTGATAGAAAGGGAAAGAGAAAGGGATGGGAGGGTGGCGAGAGATAAAGAGAGAAAGAGAGAGAGAAAGAGAGAGAGAGAGAGTGTGTGTGTGGGAGAGAAGAGTAAAGACGAGACAGAGCAGGCAGGAGAGGGAGATAGAGAGAAAAAGAAAGATAGAAAGAGAGAGATATATTAAAAAAGAGAGAGATGTATTAAAAGAGAGAGAGAGAGAA